CTAAGCATGTAGATGACCAGGAGTTTAAGCTACCAAATGGAATAATATTCCAAAATTTTACCGAGAGGAAATAGAAACTAGTAAGGTCTACTGATACCTTATTCAGAATCTGAAAGATTTTGCCACTTGGCGACAGCTTTCTTATGGGCGTCGCGCCTGATTTGACGCTGTCCATCATGCCTGGAAGCATGTCCAGGACGCTATCAATCTTCGACTTTTTGGTGTCCTTCTTATACTAGAAAGTTTGAGTGACCACAGTCACCATTGTTATCTATTTATCAAAGATATGCCACCACCGTTTCCTTTTTTTCTTTGGTCAAATTCCAGTGATTGTTCTGACAGTTATACCAAATTCTGAATTATAAACAATACCCAGTTTTTTCCTTTGAAATTTTTAGCATGGCTTCAGTGTTTCATAACAATGCTTGTCGTTCAGGTTTTTGGCCGTGATGAATATCCACTTGACGTCCTGGATTGTTTGGGTGTCTTTGGTCCCGAAATGAACGGTGGTAGAGATTATTACAGTGTCTTTATAAACTCGCCACGAATACTGAATTTTGGTATCTAACCGGGGAAACTATAGAAACATTTGAAGAAATCGTGATAAGGATGAGAATACCGATACTGAACTTTCAACGTCGTATTGCTGCTGCTCGCGTGCGAATTCAACGCCTAACTATACGAAACAGAAGACGAAGATTTCTAATGAATTAATATTATTGAAACTTTCGTTGTGACAAGGAATAAAAACGAATCCAATAAATGAGTCGCCAACTCATCACTATTCTTCCTCCATTCATTCGTCCATGAAAACAAACCAAAAGAAGAATATTCCCTCCCACCTCACCCAAATAAAAGAACCGTTAATTTGTATAGTAAGACTGCTCATCAACAATGGTATGTATTCATAGGGTGATAATGATGTTTTTAGAACCCTCATTATCTTATCACGGTGCTTGATAAGTGGGACGTCTTGGTACAACGGACACGTGTCTTATATGCAAAAGGTCTAATAGCCCACCTCCGAGATATGCTTCGCTTGTCACGCACAAAGGTTTCAGTATGTGTGACAAGCGAAGCATATCTCGGAAGTGGGCTATTACAGCAACCGATCTCAAACCACAGGAAACCCATAATTATCAAAGTTATTTCAAATTAATCATTCATCCAGGCTCCAAAGGTCGGGGCATGTTATATAGAAGCTCTATAGTATATCTAGAGTTCCACAGCAAGAACGATTAGTTATGCAAGTAGTAAGGTCAATTTCTTTGCTGCTATTAGATTTTAAGTTTTGTTTGACGCATACTGATCGGCTTAGTACTGAAGGTTAAACTTCCTTCAACTTCCGTTTCAAGCTCCTTCACTTTCGAAGTGGCTCGTTTGATGGCGCAAGAAAACAAGATGGTGATTCATGATAATCATATGAAAATACCAAAGACTTATTACCTGTCTCTTATGCTTTTCGCTATCGCAGCCCACGATGTGATCGGTAAGTTGTACTTAATAAGCATTGTCAGAGTCTGAGAGGAAAGGTAAACATTTGGAAAATCTGATTATTACTTTGATCAAGTATTGTCAGCAGTAAATGATTGATCTGTAAGACATTTGCTCTTAACAAAAAGTATAATCCTTTTAGGCTAAGTATATATGCTTTTTCAGTTTTGATCTGTGCAGTGGTACATTAGTGGCTGAATGACATTAAAGCGGAAAATAGAGCTCAAAAGAACACTGCGGTACACACAAATCCAAATGGTGTAACTTTTTGTCATTCAGACAAAGCTAGCTTGATCAAAAGTCTTGAGAAAAGAAATAATTTCTTTATGTTTCGTAGCTGGATGATGTAATTGTGGATAATATCATCTATATTTATAGTCACAATTATTCACCGAAGGCGAAGTGATTATCGGTGGTATATTTACCGAGCAGCGAGTCTTCGAGCGGCGAGATCAGATATAACCATAATCATTATACAAAAAAAATTGGTATTACTTTCGAAGTGAAAAACTTTGGAAAACCTCATATTCGCCGCTGGAGCGGTGATTATCGTCTCAGAATCACCTGTCGCTCAACCAATCACAGCTCGAAAAACTATACATTAAAACCTAAAATGATAGTAAAAGCGTTTAATTTGCCCCTGACGAGTGAAGGGATAATTCTATGACTGCCTCATTTACGGAATTTGAGAGTGAGTATCAAGCCTTGCCATTCATTCTAATTCTTTTTTTATATAAGACAAACGCAACAAACAATCAAACGATCAATTACTGAAAGAGAGAAAGGTGAGAGAGAGGATAACCTTTTGGGAATGCGAGTGGAATAACGATGTGGAGAGCAAGTCCGTAGTGGTAATAGATACCTATATAAATATATAACCTTTATTTCAACAGCGAGTCTCATCATACAATGTGCTCTTCTAGGAAGCCGTAATAGCTTATGAATTTAAAAGTGAAAACGTAAACCTAATATTTTATACATATTATATTCTATTGACAAATTTCCTATAATTAGGTGCTCACCTCTGATATTCATTTAGCTTATCCCAGAGTTAACCCCCATCCTGTAGGGAATGCTTTTTTTCGAGGATCCAGTATTTATTTAGTCTGCTTTGTACGACAAGCGCCTATTTTGAGAACTACGTAAGTTGGGGGTATGAGCCTCGCGTGTATAATGAAAAAGCTCAGGAAGATAGCTTGGAGTATGGCTATTTAAGCTTTTAAACATGAGACTGGCCAATAAAATTGACGTTTGCCCCTTTGATTAACGTCTTTCCAGCCAACTTGCTGGGATATCTACAGATCTGACTTCAAAACTTGATCCAGTTATAATTCTAGCGACCCTGTTTTAAATGTTTTTTGTTTATAGTTTTAGTGAGCTAGCATATATCAAGTGCAACTGAGCAAGTGCAGTACAATAAATCCAACTATCTTAAAATAATTTTCTTTTGTTATAAATTCGGTACGTATATTAAAAAAAGAAAAAGTGAAAGAAAAAATCGAGTAACCCTTTTAGTGAACTATTAAAAATGCCTAAGTTTTGTTTCTTCACATTGAACTAAAGGACGAATAGCCCTTTTTTCTCATTCGGTAAATACTGCTGTGTTTTATGACTACTGACTCGTCTGCATAGGCTTAGCCTCGCTTAAGAGCAAATCATTTGCAAATTCGACTGTAATGTAAAGAATGTGCAAGCTTGAACAAAATCAATGGTTTGAATTCCCATGGACTCTTAATGGTGTCTGTAAATAGCTGACTTATAAACGAGGCTACAGGCCGAGGCTGATAATGAGCCTGCGATCCCAACAAACAGTGGTATTCATCGAAATTGAGACTGGTTTATTGGAATAAAAATGGTTGATTGTTAAAAAGAGAAAAAGAAAAGAAAAAGTTTGAAAAGAAAGCACAGAACAATGAAACAATGACAAAATACGTCGGTTCCATATTTCTCGTAGGGGAAAATTTATCAATTTTTCAAGATGCTCGCTTGATTTCGCACAAAATGTCTTCTATAGCGATATAATTATATGGTTGAATGGAATAGAGAGAGACAGACAGAGACAGACAGAGACAGATAGAGACAGACAGACAGACAGACAGAAATAGACAGACAGACAGACAGACAGAGGGATAAAAGAATGAGTTTAATTTAATGAGTAATACGTTATGCTGCAAACATCAATATATGATGTTACAATTCAATACAGGTTGTCAGAACAGTCCTGTTGGTATAGCAGACAGAAGTATTATACCAGATGACAGATTTACAGCCTCTTCATATTACAATGCAAGATATACCCCAAAGAATGCTCGTCTGAATGGAGCCAAAGGATGGGCACCAAAAACAACAACCGACCCTAATGACTATCTACAGATAGACTTGGGTGAAGTGTTTGTTATCTGTGCTGTGTCTACCCAGGGCTATGAATGGACTACTAATGAATGGACTACAGAATACAAGATATCTACATCTGTAAATAATGTCAATTGGAGTATTTACAAAAGTGGTTACACAAACGGTAACGTAGATAAGGTAAGGATTTCTTAGAACTTGCCATTTTTCTTCCAGGTGTTTCCTGGTAATACAGATAGTTATACTGTTGTCAAGAAAGTCTTATATTTTGCCATTCTACTTTAGTTGTTTCGTGGTAATACAGATAAAACTACTGTCTTCAAGAATGTCCTAGATTATCCAGTTCTGGTCAGATACATTAGGTTTATACCCACAACGTTTAACAGTTGGAAGGCCCTACGTGTTGAAGCTTATGGTATAAAAAAACGTAAGTACATTTAATGAATATAAAACGCGACCGCATGTCTCTGTACTATGATATAATCACGCTGGGAGCTGCAGAGCACGAGAGAAGCAAGGTTAGGAATTACGAGGCATAGTCGAGTGCTTTACTTGATTTTTCATTGCTCCACAGCTGCAAGACCCTTGCATCAAATTACAGAAAAATATGCATCCGTTTTATATTGCTTTTATATAAAAAAATGAAGCTGTTTTAAGTGACCTTGTCTTTGTCCTCTGACATATATAAAAACCAGGGCGCTAATTAGGTAATTAATAAGCGCCCTGATAAAAGCTGTATGCAGCCAATCAGCGCGCGCGATATATCGAAATGTCTTTTGTGTGATTGTTATTTCTGCATGAGGCGATTCATCATTCATAAGGACTTGTTGTTACATCATTCTTTTATTCTCGTAAACTTATATACCTAAAAAGTCGTTGGTCGGAGATCTGAAATCTGTAATCTAAGACTGAGTAGCACGCTGCAAATTGTGATAAATTCATAGCATTAGTTTCACGTAGTTTAGTTTCCTTTTAGCTTGTATTCTGACAATAGCCTTTTTTTTCTATAACGAGAACAGACAATTGAATTCCGATTGGAATTCTTCTAATGTTCTTCTAATTGTGATAAATTCATAGCATTAGTTTCACGTAGTTTAGTTTCCTTTTAGCTTGTATTATGACTATAGCCTTTTTTTTTCTATAACGAGAACAGACAATTGAATTCCGATTGGAATTCTTCTAATGGAAATTAATCGTTGGTTTATCATCTTTATATTCAAGTTTATTGAATTGAAAAGAGATAAACCGGGCTGCTATTATATACCTCCATTTATGATGATACACATCACTTACAGGTTGTCAGGACAGTCCCGTTGGTATAGCAGACAGTAGTATTATACCAGATGACAAATTTACAGCATCTTCACAGTATGACCATAGATATGTTCCTATGAATGCCCGTCTGAATGGAGACACAGGATGGGCACCAAAGACAAAACTCGACCCTGATGACTATCTACAGATAGACTTGGGTCAGTTGTTTGAATTATGTGCTGTGGCTACTCAGGGCAGCGGTAAACATGGAAATAATGAATGGACTACAGAATACAAGTTATTAACATCGCTAGATAAAGTCAATTGGACTACAAATACGTGGACTTACAAAACTTGCACCAATAAGGTATGAATGTAATATATTTATAGAAGTTATTATTTTTTTCCTGTACTTGCTTACTGATAATGGAAATAGTATTGCTGTTGTCAAGAATGTCTCAGGTGTAAGCAACGGTGCAGCACTAGCTACCAGAGTGCTTTCCCAACAATCCAAATACGCTCATAAATAGATTTGACGCAATGCTAGTGCATTGACCATTGCTTTTATAACATAAAGACAATTTTACACTATAAAAACCGTATATTTCGATCTGATAAAGTCATAGATTTTCTCAAGATGCGAGCAAGATACTTTTCGAGCTAAATTTGATTAATTTTGTTATATCTTAGATATGTTATAAATGTCTATTTTTCTTCTAGTTGTCTCCTGACAATACAAATAGTAATACTGTTGTCAAGAATGTCTTAGATGTTGCTATTTTTCTTCTAGTTGTTTACTGCTAATACAGATAGTAATAGTGTTGTCAAGAATGTCTGAGATGTTGTTTTTTTCCCCTTGTAGTTGTTTCCTGGTAACACAGAGAGTAAAACTGTTGTCAAAAATGCTCTAGATTACCCAGTTCTGGCGAGGTTCATCAGGTTTATACCCACAAGGTATTGGAAATGGAAGGTCCTACGTGTAGAGGTGTATGGTCTCAAAAAACGTAAGTCTATACATAATAAATGCTTTTTATTTTGAATCGTAAGTATTTTGGTTAGCAATTGGTTGTCAAGTCAATGTTTTAGATTTTCAAAAGACTGATCTTATTTTCGATGTTTGTACTTAAACTCCATTGTCACAGTTTTGTTGTGCAGCTCTCTACCAGTTGGTATTGGTAGTGGTAAAATACCAGACAGTGATATGACGTCATCATCAGCTTACAACAGCACCACGTCACCATCCAAGGCAAGACTAAACTACATAGCAGAGTCATCATGGTGTGCTGCTAGAAATGACTCTTCTCCATATCTACAGATTAACTTAGGATCACCTTACATCATTTGTGGTATAGCAACACAGGGTGACCACATGACAGATCAGTGGGTTCAGTCTTACAACATGCTCATATCAAATGATGGGTCTACTTTTACTAGATATATGGAAGACAGCCAAGTTAAGGTGAAACTACAATTCAAAAAAAAAAGCAATAAAACTTTGTAGTCAGCGATACAATATATTGCATTGACGAACAAACTTCTAATTAAGATAAACTATTAAAATATTAAATCATTTTTAAAAATATTTTTCAAATGATTATTCTTTGTTTTAAGACAATATATGATTCAATACACATAATTTTCTATCTTATAGTCATTTGCTGGTAATTTCGACTCTAATACTACAGTCAAGAATTATTTGCATGATGGTACTGCTACTCAGCACATACGTGTTGCCCCAACAAGTCATTATGGGAGTACAAACTGCATGAGAACAGAACTCTATGGAATAAGACACGATGGAGGTACATATAGTCTTCAAGTTTTGCTTACTGGCAAAACTTAAGTGATCTAACTAGTAAGAAACCTTAAAAACGCCGTAACATTAAAACACCGATAATTTGGAGACATACAACTGATACAATGAAAACGAGAATCATATATTTTAAGAAAAACTTTCAAACGCTTCGCGGTCTTACTTTCTTAACAGGCTGCACATCCATGTTCGTTGGTTTATCATACCCTAGTATCATACCAGATCACAGGTTTACTGCCAGCTCTTCATATGGCGGAGATTACATACCACGTAATGCTAGACTGAAAACATCTAATAAAGCTTGGGCACCAAGAACAAAGTCTGGTAGTGACTGGCTGCAGGTAGACCTCGGTTCTGCTGTGTTTGTGTGTGCAGTAGCTACACAAGGTGCTGGGAATCTTAATAATGAGTGGATAAAATCATTCAAAATAAAAGTGTCCTTGGATAATGTGAACTGGATTTATTACCAGGAAAATAATATCGTCAAGGTAAATACGTAACAAGATAAAACGGTCTTTGGATAATAATATGAATCGAAATTGATACCAAGATAATAATATTGACGAGGTAAATATGTAAGAAGAGACAAAATGAGAGTTTTGTGCTAAATATTTCCTTTGTTTATTTATTTACATAAATGAGCGACTTCTTTAAAATATATTAATTCATAGAAATTTACTGGCAATACAAATAGAGACCAAGTTGTGACAAACAGTCTTAGTCATCCCATCAAGGCCAAGTTTATACGAATCTATCCATTAACATATAATAATACGTCATCCTTAAGAGTGGAGATCTATGGGACATCATCTAGTAAGTATCCATTGTTGACAATTTTTAAAAGACATACAGAAAACAAAAATTAATTTATAATACGTACATTACAGCTTGCAGTTCTCCTGTTGGAGTTGAGGCACCTGGCATCATTCAAGACATCCAGATGACGTCATCGTCTCAACTTGATAACAACTATAATGCTTCAGACGGTCGTCTATACGGCAACACGTCATGGTGTAGTAGCACATCATCCAACACTCAGTACATACAGATTAACCTGGGTCAAATGATGACAGTGACAGGTATAGCAACACAGGGTGACCACACAATGGATAACTGGGTCACAAACTACACTATCAGTTACAGTATGGATGGCAATCTGTGGAACACCTACAAAGCTGGGGGCAACAGTGATAAGGTAGAAACTGCTATGAAATATTACAGGGGAATGCTTACATCAGTAATTATAAATGTCCATCAAGGTACTTGATAAGTCATTCACCTTTTCGACGCTAGCTCTTAGATAGTTTTCTTAAAGACGGTAAAAAAGCTGCAATCAAGTTAGAAAACAATATTTTTTACTTATATTTAGAGAGCTAACCAAACAAACCAATTAAATTCGCGTCGAAATGTCCGAACGTTTTGATGACCGAACAGAATGCAACACCATCATACCATGTCATAAGGCGAAATGAATACGGTTGTTGCAAAGGGACACTTGGATGAAAATGGATAAAAATTGGAAATGACTTTAAACTTAGTTAAACGTATCTATATGGCCCAAATAGCAATCAAGCAACATACTTTCTTAACAGTAAAATGTAGCGGATAAAAATTATCAATTCTATTTAGCATATAAATTGTGAGTAAATGACGTCATTTATAACTCAACCCTATTGTTCTTTTCTCTTTTAACCCAACATTTCTCGACAGCAAGTGGCTCCCAGGCGAAAATTTTCACAAATCTGGTTTACTTTATCATAATTGAGTCACATTATCCACAAATACTTCAATTATTCGGACTATATCTATGACGGAACTCATTTTGCATTCCTTAAAATCGGTATTTATCAGATATTCCAAGGCAATGCTGACAAGGAGAATGTAAGAGTGCAATGGCTGAGTCAACCACTGACAGCCAGGCATGTTCGAGTTACACCACAGACATGGAAAACTGCTATATGTATGAGACTAGAACTGTATGGATGTGACT